GGGAGTGATATTTCTCTCTAGACATTCCTTTAATTGCTCATCCAGCCAAAACAGATACTACTGGCCAGACCAGGGCTTTCCGCTCAGATTTTTTAAGAAGTTTTTTGACAATGTTCTCTGACGTGAAATGAAGAGCAAGCAACAAGCGATGTGCAGATGGTTTTCTTTTTTTTTCCCTACTACAGAAGTGTATCAATACTTACAAATAGGGCATTGGGTTGGTTTGATTTTTAAAAGGAAATGAAAGCCCTCCATTTACCCTTGGAAAAATCACATGTATTAAATGTAGCAAATGTACCTAATTTTTCATTCCACTTCTTGAAGTAGTTATTTGCCTTATGGTTAAAAGTCAGGATCATGAGTTACTTTTGTTTAACATTTCTGAAATACTGTGGGAACATTATTCATTGACAATGAGTATACTGTAAGTGCTGTATTTAAACAACAACGTTGTTTCATTATTTATTAGTCTCTCTCAAAACGATAATTAGTTTCAGATCTTTGGCAGACTCCAAGTTTGGATAGGATTGAAAACCAGTTCTCTCTTGTTCCCAGAACATTTCCCTCCCTAATGAAGAGGATCATTAGTAAGGTGTTACTATCCACAGTTGTGTTCCCTCATGCTGCTAGTGGGTATGAAATAGCACCAGCTCTGAACCCTTAATGTTTTATTCCATCTGTGTTAGAGAAAATGGCTATACAAAATGCCAGGCAAAAGTAAATCAGCCTTTTCTGAAATCCCGTCCTTGGCTGAAAAGTCATGGAGGTGATTGCCAGTTACAATATAGGCCATGGAGATGACTTGCTGCGATCAGGGATTCACAGTGAATATATTGTCTCAGCTGGAGGGAAGCTTTTGCTTCTCCATCCCCACAGTATGTTGTTCTTGGGTAAAATAAAGAATTTCTTTTTGTACTGCTTCAGGGTGGGCTGCCCACCTGTCCAGCTGATCTAAATCTGTCCCTTGCTCATCACGTAAGCTCCTGTCCTTTGCAGAAAAGATCTGTGTATCCTTAATTATCCACAGGGTGTGAGTTTACCAGCAGCAAAATGCGCAGGCGTGCTTGTTAGCAGGTCAGTGCAGCGTTAGGCTGTGTCAGGCCCGTACGCTTCCCTTTGCTTTTCTTCTTTGAATGGCATCTTTCCCTGCTGTCATCTGGGGTTCCTCATGCTCGTGGGTTTTCAAATTGTGGCTTTTAATTAGAAATGAAAAGACAATGTTAGCTCACACGTCCACTTGCTTTTCAGTGTGTTCGTGTTCTCTTCTTTGCTCTCCAACCTGAAACGACAGGGCTGGTTCCGGTGCAGTTCAGGTGCTACGATCAAAAGCAGCCCAATGTGTGCAGCTCATAGGATCTAACAGCCTCTTTGAAAGCCCCGGCATGTCAGTGCCCGCAAGCTCCCAGGAACCACCTAGGGATGGAAATCTGAGGTGTGCTGGAAGGAGCGAGCGAGTGTGACAGCTATGTGGGTGGCTTGATTTCCACAGCATCTTAGATTTTTCTGCCAGGACAGACTGGAGTAAACTTTAACAATCACGAGAGTTGCTTGCCTGCATTTGAGGGGTTAATTACTCATGAAGCTGACATGCTCAAACTCTGTATGTTGCCTGGCAGACTTGCTTTAAGCCAAGCCAGGGCAAAATACCCTTTTAGCGGCAGCCTTGTTCACTTTCCTTTGAGGACCACACAGGTACCTGTGCTGGCCTGAATGTATAGACAAGCTTTACAAGTAAGTACCTAACTTATTGACACGTTTGATTGGAGGGTTGCTATGGATTTGAGGTGCTCATTAACAGCTGCATATACAGGAAAGAAGAAAATGGCAGATCCACAGCATCTTCCACAACCCTGTGAACACACCCTGGGCACTTGCTTCTAAGCAGGTGTCTCTGCCACCTCCAGTTCAACAATAGCTCAGCAGTTTACTTGCGTAGTTGCTTCTTATTCTAAGGATCTGTCATTGCGCAGATATATGATACATCTTGAATGCTTTACGTTCTCTGTGTCAGTAAAAGGGCTTCCTAAGCATCAGAAGCCCACAGGAGTTCAAATCCCCATGTAAGTCATCTCTGAGTTATGCACTAGACTGGAATTACGGAAGCCCTGGGTCCAAGCCCTTCCTGCCCAAGCTCAATTAGGATTTCCTAATAGTAGCAGGAGGGCCCTATCCTCTAGATGGACTTACTAAGAGGGATTTTTTTTGGCTAGGCTGGCATTCAGATGTCAAAAGAAGTGGTTAGGGGAGGGGGGAGGAGGCAAGGCAGAGCGACATGTTTTATTTTTATGCAAAAATTGCATTCAGTGAATTTAGTACAGTGAAAAGTGCTGTCTTGGGCTGTTCAGAGGGTTGTCTTCAAGTTCTATCTCTACGAAACAGACAGTGGTGACAGTGCATTTTTTTTCTTGTTTTTTTTAAAACGCGAATGAGGAGAAGAGGAAAAATGCATTAAATCTCATATTTGTTTCTTACTGTGGCATAAATCAAGAATGACTTCTTGAGGTCGACGAAATTAATTCAATACAAAATCAGTGTGATTTAGTATCAGTGTGATTTTTACAAGGTGTGCAGTGTCTTCTGACAGTTGATCAACTTTTTTATTGGAGTAAACAGAATGGTTTAATCTTAATTTTTGATTTTCAGTGGTAGGTTGATAGCCAGAAGGACAGCGGATGCTGTGAAGATTGCCTGTACAGCATGGTGGTGTCCCAGAAGTTTGTGGTTAAAGCCCTTCTATGACTCAATGACGGGGTGCTTTAGGGGGAGGACAAAGGAAAAATAGTTTACAGATCAGCCAGGCTCAGTTGGGGAGCAACAGTCTTTGAAATAAAACTCTGAAGTGTGAGGTATCAGAAGCCTTATATTTTCTTCGGGGTGAAGGACCAGTTTCAGAGAACTGTTGTTTGTCACTTTTATTGACCTCTGAAAATAATTGGTCTTCAGCATGTTACAGTACAGCACTGTGCCACAGATCCTGGAGTCCAGGTGAAGAGGACTAGGCTAGAGGTTCTGCTAAGATTTAGAAGTGTAAGAGCAATGTAAAGAGTGATGTGATTGTGCTGTAATAGTGCAGAGCTGTAATTTATGCTGGAAGCAGGAGGGAAGCAGTCAGCACAGACTGAAACCACGCACTTTCAGGAGCTAAGTAGCCACTATCCAAACACAGAACAAAGCCAAAGAGAAAAGCGTACGTAAGGCTGCAGCTGCCGTGAAGGTGAATGTAGAGCCAGTAGCGCCATGGGTAATATTGTAAATTTACTGACCAGACAAAATTCAGTCATAAGAGTGAGGAGTGGCTGGATACCACAGCATCCTTCCCCAGCTGTGCTTCTCAGCCACTTCAGGCAGAGGACAGGCTATCGCTATCCACAGATTCAAATGGATTTGTCAGTGTGCTGTGCTCTTAATTTTTGTGACTTGATTATGTCATGGCTAAAAGTAAGGATGTCAGCACTTAACCAGATGAGACTGAGAAATTATGTGACTAGAAATATCCAGAACACTTGAACACGCCGTAAAAGAGATGTGACTGGAAGTGAGTTGGGAGTTTATTGCTCAGCATAATAACCAGTGATTAATGGTTTCAAATTTATGATTAACTGTGTAGGAAAAAATATGGACAAGTATCTGCAGGAGATTGCTGGAGTCCCTGATGAAACTCTGGTTCACTTCACTGAGGACAGTTTGTAGTAAAGCAATAGTCTGTATATTCCTCCCTCACTAAAGTGTTCATTGTTTCACTGCTGTGTTCGATTTGCAGATAAAGCAACACGTATGGCTTTGTGCTCTGCATCAGGGGGTGGGGGCGGGATCTTAACTGCAACCCCAGCTGGGAGCTGAGCTGGGCTTTTTCTTACGTGCGATGTCATTGCTCGTCAATGCTCTGCGAAGCCCAGCAGGGCTCAGTGGCACTGGGGAGGTGCCATTTCTTCTTACTTGAGTTATAACTGAATTAAACTAAATGACAATTTGGCACACTGTGTGTGGAGTGGGATGGGATCCAGCCTGTCAGGTGGTGTGCTGCATGTGCACGTTTGATAGGAGTAAAAGCTGAAGCAAACAAGATCTCACTTGAATAGACCTACAAAGTACAATTTTTCCAGGTACAAATTTTCTCAATGACGATAGAGTTGAGAGCTCGGGACAGTCTTAAACTCGCTTGTGGGAGATACTTCAATGTACTTTCATGCAAGTCAGCAGATTTAGATCAAAACTTTGCAGAAGTTAATGCTTCATGTATGTTACTTACCTCTTTCTTTTAATTCTTGGAGTTTTGTCCCATATTTTGGTAATAGCTCAGACATCCTGATCATGTCAGGGATATCTGTATCCTTTTGCCAATATAATCGTTTAACAGCACTCTGAGTTATTTGAGAACAAGGGTGTAGTAAATAATAACAAATAAGAAGAACTTAAAATTGTGTCAGCATATGTTGATGTTCCTCCATGCCACAACGGCATTCATCACAGTGTTAACTTCATAAAACAGGGTAAATTCAAACCGTAAGGGAAAACATAATGAAGTACCTTTTTATTGTGATCGTGAAAGCTTTGGAAGGAGCTAGAAAAACATAGAGGCCGTATCTATACTGCAGACATTTAAGCATCTAGTTTTGTTGCTTTCTGAGCTTTTGTTGATGTCAGATATAGGCAAAAGCCCTTCGCCTAGCACGGTTAAATTGGCAGAAGTTTACTTCTCACTGGTAGAATGCACTTTGAGTGGTGAGAGCTGGAGTACAGCATTTCAACAAAAACACAGCTTTAATGGCAGAAACTGCAACAGCATTAAGGACGGTGGCGGCTTCATTGCTAAAGGGTCGCAATGTGGGCCACAGGGTCTTCATTACTCATGAGACCTTACCTGGCTGGAGGAGGGATGATCAGAAATTTGTTTGCATACAGGTTGCCAGCTGCTGGGTGGCATACTAATAGCCAAAATCTCAACAGCGACGATCTCTAACAAATTCTTCCTTTCTGTTTTGCTCTGTTTCTCCTTGCAGGGCTTGTGAAGTTGGGGGTTCACTGTGTCACGTGTCAGAAGGTCGCGATAAAAATTGTCAACAGAGAGAAGCTCAGCGAGTCGGTGCTAATGAAGGTAATTTTCTAATGGGAGATTTTTTTAAAAAATAATTTCTCAGCTCTGTGTCTTCTGTTCCATGCAAAATTAATATCTTTAATTATGTATAACAAACATCCCTGTCAGTACCAGGATTATGCGGAGCATAATAACAATAATTTAGTTATGGGGGAGGCTAGGGCAGCTGGAGTTAAATGGGAGTATGCCTGTGCTTTGTGAACAAAGCTGCAGAGTTGTTGCTTCTCTGCTGGGGCAGATGTGGGTTGGGCATCCGACTTCCACCGCTGCAGCAGTGCATAGCAGCTGCGGTACATTGCAGATGGAGGTGTGCAAATGTCAGTAGAGAGAGACTGAAGAGAGGCTGGCGAGTCTGTTGTTTGAATACTCCTACTGCTTGCTCTGCTGCATGGGTTCATCGTGATCTGGTGTGCCAAAGTCCATGACTGTTAAAAGCTGTTGTAATTCTGTTAACTATCCACAGAGCTGTGCCATTGGAAACCATCAAAGTGTGTCCTGGTGGTCCCAATGACTGCAGTGTTCAGAAGAGCTTAATTCATTTTTTACCTAGCCTTCTGATATCCATTTCCTTGCACGAGTGTCATTGATTAATCTTGGAAACCTAAAAATAAAATAAATATATGCATAAAAGTGTATTCATGTGATTTGGTGACTAGAAGGGCTAAATTCAGCTTAATGGAAGGGAACACAACTGCACTGCAATCAACAGAATTCCATCAAGCTATCACCTGCAAACGACACTGACAGGTCTGTGTGCAGCATAGAGCACTTCATTGGCGTAAAGTCCCTATAAGCATGTGGAGCATATTATCTTTTCACTGCTGTTTCTTGTATGTACTTCTGTGTCTCAGCTGTTTTCCGGCACAAGTAAGTATAGCAACCTTAGTAGCAGCAGAAGGAAAACAGAGATTAAAGGAATATGCAGTCAGTGAATGTTACACATACAATGTAAGTTTGTTTTTTTTTCAGAGAAGGATTCTTAAAGTTTATATTCAGTTGTAATGTGTTCAGACTCACCTTTCTGGAATTTCATTGAAGTATTCCTTCTCCTGCAGTACTGTGGATTCAAACAGTCTTCTAATACAGACCAAAAGTTAGTAAGTGAAATAGGTAAGAAAAATGCAACTTAAAGGGGAGATTCAGTGGATAAACGGAATGCAACAAAAACAAAAAAATGTGTGTAAATGGCAGAATCCGAATGAGACTCAAAACACTTTGAATATTTTCCAGAGTAACATAGTAGGAATATTTTTAAAAACAGGAGCATTTTGTTTGCTGAGAGACACTGTCTGGTATCTGTATAAAACATTTTATTTACCTCATTGACTTTCAGAGTAGGAGGCAAATCACTTAGCATAGCAAAGTGATCTCTCTGCTTTAGTTGTGTTCCATTACCTCGGTTGTAGTATGAAATCTGAGTAGTGAAACGGTGTGTTAGGCCCTTGTTTACACAGCCGCATGCTGAAGCGTGCCGTGTTTTCTGTAAGGCTGTACCGCATCCTTCTCAGGCGGAAACAGCGTGTTGTATCGTGATTTGCATTTTCGGACCATTCTTGGTGAGATTTTCTCTTTCAAGGACTCTGTTCTCTGTGCTCAGGAGGTTGGAACAACAGATGGGATTGAAGTGGTTTTCCCAGTTCTTGCATAAACTCAGTAAGCAGATGTCTTTTCAGGAATTCCCTGAGCCTGATGGTCACAGACAGGGCCTGAGACTTCTAAGTGAATTTGGAATTGACTGTACTGTTAGCCAGCTTAATCCAGCCTGGCCGAAGGGGAAAAGTGCTTGCAGCTTTTGGCAATCCCAGTGTGACCATTGCGAAGCATCCAGCTGACAGCTTGCTGCGTAGAGTCAGCAGCCGGAAAGAGCCAACAGTGAAGCCAAGTCGTGGTGGTGTGGTGGCATTCCTACTTTGCAAATCTTCCCACTAGCTCATTGGTTCCAGTGACTCTCTTTGCCAGTGGGCCGTGCAGAACAGTCCCTGGAGCCAAATGATTCAAGACCACAGCTACTCTCCTAAGCCAGGCCCAGATTGATGGATTTTGCTTTAATCCATCTTTGGACAGAAAAACTGGATCTGACAAATATGAACACCTGCTGCATGAAGCTGTAACACTGCAGTGCTGTGGCCATTTATCCTAGAGCATAAGGAAGAAGTCTGCTCGCGGTCCTTTCAACATCTAAAATGACAGGCACAAGCATATACAGCCGGCTGCTTTCTTTGTCATCATTATTCTATTTTGACTTGCTTCTTATAGCCTTCATTTCTCCAGTGTTTTCGCAGTGTTTTATTCTGTATGTTCAGGGAACTGTCCCTTCTTTCTGCAGCTGCTCTTCATCTGAGCTGTGCAGAATTGAGAGGCATTTGCTAAAGTGCTTTCTAATCATAACGTCGTAGTATCGATATTTCTGGAGAGAAGAACTTGGAATTGAAGCAGCTGGTCTCAATTAGCAGAACTGCTGCTATGGAGATGCTACATGGGCAGGCACGCTGCAGCACAAGCTGCAGTGAATGTATCATCCAAGTGCTTGCTGCCCTGTCAAAGGACAGGGCTGCTCAGTGCACATGTGAGCCCTTTGCTTTGTCATGCCCTTACTCGCTAAATGCAGCCTGGGGAGCAGTGTTCCTTTCCCAGCTCCAGCTGAGGCCTGGTTGGGAGCCTGGTCTGGGGGCAAAGCTACAAATGTAGTTTCATAGATGAGAACAGAAGGGCTGGTTCTGTTCTTGCTTCTGCTGTCGCACAACTGGTAAAAGCTTCAGCTGGGTTTCTCCAGCCGTGCTGTGGTAGCCCCAGCTGATGTGGAGACCTGCCTCCCACAGTATCGCCAGCGTGCTATAGCACAACTTGGCAGAAAGATTTCAGAAAAGAGTGTCTTATAGAGAGTGTCTTGAGATTGAAATAGGGTTTATTGATTTCCCTGAATTGCTTCTGGATCGCTGAGAGGGAAATGGGGCCCAGAATACAAAAGCTGACTGTGTCCATAAAGCACTAAGCTTTCCTGAACAGGCAGGTTCACAACTAGTGGTTGTGTTTTCAGTACCAGCACAAGTGTTTGGAGTTTATAACTTCAGAATATGAAGGTTAAAGCAAATCTTTCCTCTGATGTGGCAAAAGCTTGTTTGGAAATGTTGAGGTGTCTCATTGGACATACTCAGGAGAGTCCTTTCCTCTTTACCACCTCACCAGTTCTCTGCCACTCCCTCCTTTCAAAGAATAAACAACAAAAAACCCTACTCTTTTGGTGATGCCCCAGATGAAATACTCTTTGGACAGCCAGGGGTAGTAGAAGCAGTGGGAGCATACAGGGTGAAGAGCGAGAAGGGAACAGCTGGCCTCGGACTAATTGTGTGAAAACGCAGGCATCCTGAGAAAGCCACAGATGTCCCAGGCTTGATGACTGGAGCCCAGAGCTCCGTATGTGTGCTTTGTGTGTGTGTGCCTTTTGTTCCTTCTGACCCAGTCCTCCAGTGCTGGCCTTGCAGCGAGGCAGGTATTTCCAGGCTGGGGGATGGGAAGAGACACAGTCCTGCCCACATTTCTCACACAGAGCTCAATTGAAACATGGGTGGTGGGTTTCTTGTTTTAGTGCCTTGTGATGCTAATGAGCTCTGCTTCCCAAAAATTCTGCAAAGGTGTAGTGTGTGTTCTTAAGCAGGGAGGATCATGCAGCTATTGCTGTTGGAGATCACTGATTGCTGAAATAATTGAGCGGATGGGCAGGTAGCAGGATCGAGTGTCAGCTTCTTGGAACTGCCGAGGTAGCTTGTGGAAGCATACTTGTAATAGGCACTGCTTTGCACAGTCTTTTCGTCATCTCTTCCTTCTTTCTGAGCTTCTGTTTCAATAGCTACTTCTTTCTTTACTACCTTGTCCTGCTTTGAGTCTTTCCTTCCTTCTCCATTTTCTGTCAGTTGTTGTTTTACCTCTTTTTAACCCCTTTCATTCTTCTTTTCTCCCCCATTCTGTGATTTCTTTTTTTTTCTGTCTTTTCCCTTTTTGCTACAGAAAGTCATGTAATAACTGTCGTTGCTTTGTTGCAAAAACTGCTGAAATGCAGCATGTCTGGTTGAGGTGCCTGTTCTTCAAGGAAAAAGCTTAGAAATTGGGCACAATTAAGAAAGTACCCAAGAAAGTAAACAATCAGAGCTCATGTTTTATGAGAGACTCAAAGGACTCAATCTACCTAGTTTAAATAAAAAGAAGGTTAAGACATAACAATTATGGTCTGTAAATGCTGATAAGGAGAATAGGCGTTTGATAATAGAGGATGTTACAGTCATTGGGGCAAAAAGCTTATTGAAAACTAATAGTTGTAAGCTGTAGGTAGACAGATTAAATGTAGAAATACTAGGCCTATTTGACCACTAGATGAAGTTACTGATTGGAACAAGCCACTCGAAGCTCTCGTGGTTTTCCCCTGAAAGACTATTAAACTTCTTATTAAACAGGTTGCCCAGAGAAGCTGTGGCTGCCCCCTCCCTGGCAGTGCTCAAGGCCAGGCTGGATGGGGCTTGGAGCAACCTGGTCTGGTGGGAGGTGTCCCTGCCCATGGCAGGGGGGGTTGGACAAGATGGTCTTCAAGGTCCCTTCCAACCTAAATCATTCTATGACCTTATGATTCATCTTAAAGTGCTGTGTGTTTTTTCTAAAACCTAGATCCTAGTTCAGCTTTGGCTGCTGGACTTGCAGCAGGAAGTAGCTGAAGATGGTTTCCTGATCCATGCTATGCTCTGACTAGCTCAATGCACCAGTGTCTCTGGCTTTAAAACCCATGGAGGTGTGGGTTTCTAATCACACACTTGAAATCTGTAAAAAGTCACTTATCTGCACCTAGAACATAGAGAGAGATGCTTGTGCAAGGTGTCTGCAGAAGCAGAAATTTAGGCTTCCCCAAGTAAAGTTGAAGAAGGGGATACTTGAGAGCAGCATCTTCACTTTGGAATACCTCATTTTCAGACTTTTCAAACGAAAGACTGTGATATTGGCTGACCTAGCTGTCC